AATGGAAGAATCATTTGTAGTTTTGCCTCCACCTGCGGCTTCAGTTTATAAATCAGAGTCTGCTGCTGATGGAGTTGGAACTCATCTACCATCACCTGAAGGTGGCCAAACTAATATTCCTCCTCAGCCAAATAATTCTGGCTTCCACACCACCATAACCGTCCTGAAACGTGCATTTGACATTGCCACGACACAGACACAGGTAGCTATGTCAACCAGATTGTTGATGGCAAATGAACTTACGTATGGAAATCAACAAATGACAGCTATGTTTTTTAATGATCTTTATTTTGATTGATCTGTCATGGGCTCTGTCTCTTCTATTTCCCAGGTTGAACAACCTTTGTGTCTGGAGTGCATGCGAGTACTGTCTGATAAGCTTGATAAAGAGGTTGAAGATGTGAACAGGGACATAAATGCATATGAAGCCTGTCTGAAGCAACTGGAGGGGGAGGAGAGAAAGGTTCTTGGCGAGGCTGATTTTCTTAAGGAGAAACTTAAGGTGCATACTTGAGATCAATTATTATATGAATAACTACTTTCCTTGGCATAAAGAACAGAAAGAACTAAATCCTGAATCATGACATTTCTCTGTTTGTGCGTGTGTGTCCTTTGTATACATCCACAGAGACCAAGCTAATGCTACCGAATTTACTATGGTGAAAAAGATGTAATTTACTATTATCTGTTTGTGTTTTGGAAATGATTTTCTGGGCAAAGTACTTTTGATAGACTGTTGGTGTTCTTTGGTTTTGCTTCTTTAAGTTTATGAATGTGCTGTTTCTAGTTTATTCTTGTTCTCCCTCTGGGTTCGTATTTTCCACTTTCATACTTGTGTTCTATTTTTAAGATAGTGGAAGAAGAACAAAAGCTTGAAGCAGCCATTGATGAAACAGAAAAACAATGTGCAGAAGTTACTGCTCAATTGAAAGAATTGGAGTTAAAGTCAAGTCGCTTCAAAGAGTTGGAGGAGCGGTAAGCCAGACAAGAATCTATATTATTTAAAAGAATTGTATTCGCAAATTGTTCTAATACAAGTACTCTCATGGTGATAAATTCTATTGTAGGTTACTGATTTTTGTTTTGTTTTATTATTCCTGCCTTTTTCTTTCATTAGTACATTTTAACTTGTGCTATTAAAGTTCTGCGCCTTTTCCTTATGTAGGTATTGGCAGGAATTCAATAATTTTCAGTTCAAGTTGATTTCACATCAGGTTTGTTAGGGTTACTATTTCCTGGTCATCTTTTCTGTAATATTGTTGTACCTACGTCTGCATGGTGTTTCAGGTTTTTTAGTGTGGCATTTTGCTGAAGTTATTGGACCAAGCTATTGTTGCTTTCTCATTTTAATTTTTCCTTTTGCTTGATGATACTTCTTTCTCTACAGGAAGAAAGAGATGCAATTTTGGCAAAAATTGAAGTTTCACAAGCTCATCTAGACTTGTTGAAGCGTACTAATGTGCTAACTGATGCTTTCCCAATTGGATATGATGAAGATTTTGGAACAATCAACAACTTTCGCTTGGGGAGACTTCCAAAGTGTCCTGTATGTGAATGGAGCTCTCTTGAATAAGTGAATCTGCTCTTTCCTTTGCTCATCATTTTTATAGAACTGGTCTCATGAAGCACCATATTTGGAGCCACTTGATAAATCATTATGTTTTGGGCTAAGGATCTTCTTTTCTAATTCTGCATTCCCCATCCTTTTAAGTCATTGTTATGGTGCCATGTGTCCACTTTTTGAATTTAACTTAAGTACCCTTTGATATTATTATTTAAAGCACATATTAGGAAATTATCTAAGTAAGGAGAGTGGAAACCAAGAGTGTTACAGAAGATCCATGCAGACATTTTCGCTATCCTATTTTTTTATATGAACAGCAAGCATATGTGGCTGAAGTACCCATACAAGGTCCCTGTATGGTTTTCAAGTTATCCACTAGAGCAGATAAAAGAAATTACCATGCATTGCAGCATTGTGATCATGTTGCAAATATCCAGTTATTGGTTCATGTCATTGAGTTTTGTATCCTCCACGAGGATGTCATGTCATGTAGTTCTTTTTATAATTTATTTATTTATTTATTCATCTTTGGCTAGTCAGTTCATATCCACCATTTACCTGCTGTATACTTGTGTGAAAATTTCTTATAGGGAACTTCCATTTACCTTTTTATGGTTTAGGTTGAGTGGGATGAGATAAATGCTGCTTGGGGTCAAGCTTGCCTTCTCCTTCATACAATGGCTCAGTATTATCGGCCAAAGTTTCAGTATCCTTTTATTAGTAGTTCATTGGTGCTAAAGCTTTGCTGCGTTTGTAGTACTCCTTATCTAGGAATATATGGGATTTTACAATTCTTTCTGCTTTGGAGGCCGATAAATCATGGTTGTCTAAATTGTCCTCCTTTATAATGCTCTCCTTAACCCGTTGGTTTTCAGATATCGGATAAAAATTCTGCCCATGGGTAGTTATCCTCGCATCATGGACACAGGCAACAACACCTATGAACTGTAAGTTGATAATGGTCGCTTGAACTTTACTGGCTTCTTTGAGATTACAGTTTGAGTGAAGGTGATGAAGGCTCTAATAGACATGTTCAAGTTAGTTTGCCATAAAAAAAAAGGACATTCATTTTGATGCATGTTGGGGAGGGCATGGGTATTTTCAAGATGGTGGTGCACCACTTCAGCTTAAGTTTTCCATTTTGGCATGCCTGCAACTTCTCTCAGTGCCAATTGCTTATGGCTCTTTGAAGGAGTACGACAAAAATTCCAGTGACCTGGTGGGTGGTATTGGACTAAATTGATGGTGTCTTTCAATGCCTGTAATTCGTGTAGGGGAAATGTTATTCCTTATTTGTCATTACTTGATATGGATCTCTTTTCATGCATCTATATTTAGTAGTTCCCAGCTTTAATGTGTCAGCTTCTGGTTAGACATATTTACCTAGTCATCTTCTGATTCACATGTCTCTTCATGCATCTGATATGAATGTTTCTCAGCTTTGGTCCAGTTAATTTATTCTGGAGTACACGCTATGACAAGGCAATGACACTGTTCTTGACGTGCCTTAAGGATTTTGCTGAGTTTGCAAATGCCAAGGATAAAGAGAACATTCCTCCTGAGAAACGTTTCAAGCTACCTTACAAGTAAGTCTTTGGTTGATTGAAATCTTTTGTCTATCTGTCTCTGCTTTTCCCACCCCCAAAAAAAAAACACACACACACACACACACATTTATATGCTATTGTCAAGCTTTAGGATAAAGGGAGAAAACTATTGCAGGTTGAATCTTGTCTTTTTTACAGTTCAGAAATGGCCTCTGTACTATATATAATTTGGGTAGTTTTGCTGCTGTATAACAAAAGGAAAAGGATTTGTGATTTATAAGGCACGAAATGTGAAGTTCTTGATTTTCTGATAATGCTGTCCTGACAATAGTGTTTTAGGGTTCAAATTTTAGTTTCTGTGGCTCTACCAAAGAAAAAAACCTTGCAATAGATGGTTTGGTACTTTGGCAATAATGGTCAATTTACAATTTAACCAGTTCATCTTTACTTGATATGCTATTTGCACCTCCAGACTTTGCAAGTCATCCATGGAGCATAGTTACTCTATTTAGAGGATCTAATAACAGGCGGGCATCCAGAGTAGCTTGGGTTTGGGGATTGTTTCTGTGGGATTGTTGTAATCTGATTCTGTATGTTTCAGCTATAAGCTCTTTCGAAGCATACTTATTTACTTACACTACCTAAACTAGAAAAAAAAATTTCTGCAAACAAACCTTCCAAATTGGCATTGAGATCGGTTTCTGCCCGTTTTCCTTTTAAAGAAAAATCTTTTAGGACATAAGTATGTATGCAGATTTTTCAAGTTTGTTTAGTAGGAGTCACTTCTTTTTGCTTGTTTTAGAGGAGCTAATGCAAATCTGCAGTTTTCTCATTGTTGCCTGGCTTCCCGATTGCCTTGTTTTCTGGACCATAGAAGGAAGGAACAAACAACAAAACAAAAGTATTTGTATGTCAATCAAATGTTGGATTCTGACCTGACTACCCAGTTATATCCTTGTAAAGGTGTAAATGGTCAATTTATGAAGCAGTTCTTTTAGTATTCTGGTACCTTGAGATGTTGGTAATTGTGTTTGGAGCAAGAACTTCGAATTTCGTTTGCTGGGGATGTTTTCTCGAATCATAATATTGGCTCACAATCACTGCATTATTTGCAGGATAGAAAATGACAAAGTGGAGAGTTATTCAATTACACAAAGCTTCAATAAACAGGAGAATTGGACTAAAGCTCTCAAGTACACTCTGTGCAACTTGAAATGGGCTCTGTACTGGTTTATAGGGAACACAAATTTCCAACCGCTTTCACCTCCTGTCTCTCATCATACTGAAGTTACAGCTGGAAGCTCTTTGTACGGTAAAAGGACCGGTGATGCCAAATTCTGACGTGGAATCGCCTTATTGTGTGTAAATATATTAATTGCTAAGCTTTCTGTATTTACAAAGTAATTAACTTGAATGATGTATCAAATCATCCTTGATGTATATCTCTGTTTTTTTGGGGTTACGGTTGATCAGTTTGGAGAATAGCCGTCGAGATGAGAGTGAAAGAGAGGGAAAGAGGTAAACAAAGACAATGACGGCAATTAGAGAGCTTTTCTGGTGGTGCTCGGGCACAGGTTCTGTTTACCCCTGACTTGGCAAGCAGAGGACATGTAAGGGCTATAATTGGAACTCTGGGCCTTATTTTCCAGCAGTATGAAATGTGAATATATACAGTTATTATTGTTTTTGTTTTCAAGTAATGTTATGGATTGATAGCTGTGTGTAGATATTCGTAAAGTCTGTTGGCATATACTACAAAAAGAAATTTCTAATTTCATGCTGAATCTTGAATATGAAAGATGATGTGAACTTATTAATACCGTCTGTCACTCACTTGGATAATCTCAATGTAAATTTGAGCTTGGCAAAATCTGTGGAATCTGGTCCTTTTACTGACTCTTAAACTTCCAACATATCTAACATTGCTTGGAGTCCGCAATAAATTTTGGTCTGTTTCCAGTCACCAATAAGCACTATGGGCATTTTAGTGCCGCAGTGTGTCATGCTTTACGGTATGTGCAATAGGAAACGCGCGCCTTGCCTTGTCTTTGCGTCTCCGTTCGAACACACTGATCATGATATGGCAATGACTAAGAAAGCTACAAGTAAATGAAGCACCTAATTTTATGGAACCAGCAACTATATATCCCACCAGCCACTAGGCAATCTTATTTCTCAACGAAATTTTTCTGATTTGCATACAACACACTTGATATACACACAGTGTTGATCTGCGATCCAGAGGATTCACCATTTTCAGAAATGGCAAGGTTGATCGTGCTGGTTTTGATTGCAACAGTGGGAGCCATTATTTCGGCTTCGAGGCCAGCAGCTGTTGCTGCAGTTTCTTGCATGTCTGTTAATGATAATCTGGTGCCTTGCTTGCCATACGTAACCGACGAAGTCAGTGAACCAAGCAGTGGTTGCTGTGAAGGTGTACAAAGGGTTCTTGATTATGCACCGTCCAAACCAGACCTTGTAGCAGTCTGCAACTGCATCAAAGCAGATTTGCCAGAAATGGGAAAGGTTGACACCCCTCGCATTGCTGGGCTCCCAACAGCTTGTGGAATCAGCAGAAACTTTCCTCCTATTGATTCCAACTACGATTGCTCCATGTAAGTCAACCCCCTCTTGAACCAACCTCTGTGTGTGTGTGCGCGTGACATAATATTAATTTGACATATTCTTGTAGGGCTTCTGAGTTCTGATTGACTGCACCGGAGCTGCTCTGCTGAAGGACAACTTCTGTGATGGCTTACTCGTTACCAGTTAAATAAAGTTACTTTTCACTTGTGCCCGTTTATCTAGAATTTTTGTGGGAACTACTTGGAAAGGCAAAGAGGCAGTAGGTAGCTTAATCAAGCTACCAAAGACAAATGTACTTTCATTATAAATGAAAGATAGTTGTTCTAATCATGCTTAATTTCTCATGACAGTTAATCATGGTATCTCAAATTGATAATAAAAACATGGATACAAGTCATTGCTTGGACTCATTCCAATTGCATATGATCTGCATACTGATCCATAAATCTGCTTATCTGCAAACTCAACAATAGAAGACCACATCTTGCAATAATTCAATTCGCAGTGAAAAATGAGATGATAAGTTTGCTATATTGGTATAACATGGTAGCTAGCTGGAGGTCAATTACCATCTGGAACAACGAGTATAATAATCTATGGGAGAAATAGGAGCAGCCCACATTTTTGGGGAATAAGTGGTATCCGTTTACAATCATAATGTTGGATTACTGCCAAAGCTCGTTTTGCACATGTGCAGACAACCATCCGGCCACGTTGGTTATTCACTCTTCGAGCCAAAATCTTGACCCCTGAACAGCAGAGCTCCGATGGCCGGTCAATCTTTGGTTCCACGCCGGAGAGTTCACCTCTCAAATACAGCATGCAAGGTGCTAAGTTGAACGTAATCCATGAACAAGACCCTGATGCGCTTGCTGCTGAGAACAGTTGTGAGAAAATCAGCATGCAGCATGCTACACGGGACATTTTTCCTCGAGTAATCAATCTGCTATATATGTCAGTTGAGTGATTCAATACTCAAAGGTTTTAAATTGTTTCAAATCAAATCGTGAGCACTAGGACGTCATGATCAACTCAAAAACCACTTGTTGCTTTCAGCGGATTCTGTTGCAGAATTTCGGCTTCAGCAGCATATATATATACATATATAGCAGTCTTACGTACCATCATTGGTAAACACACTTCTTGATCAACAGATCAAGAGATTATTTACTGTGCATTCTATAAAGGAGTTACAGAATCTTTAATTTAATTAAAATGGAAAAACACTATCGATTGCTTTCAATTTGAAAGTGTTTTGAGATCACAAAACAATATCAGCTGTTTGGTGAATACATGAGCGCATAGATTGAATTCTGTAGGAAGTAGGAATTCATCCTTCTCCCGAACACGTGTTGATGTTATACTATACAGGGCTTCTATTTTAGGTTGGTTTTCCCCAGAATCAATTTAGGATTTCGGTAGAGAGAATTAGATTATCCACCTTAATCTAATCAGCAAATTACAATGCTTCCGCTCAAGGAAGGGTCACCTAACATAACAACCACCCGAACTTCTTTTCTCTACTTAGCGTGGGAAAATTGCTTACTATAAGCAAGCAAAATACCACCAATCCTCTAGTTTTTTTTTTTTGCATAAGATGATCTCTTCATATCAGTATATGATAGTTATTCTGATATTTTGGTTTTTAATAAGCCCCATCCCCATGCACTTTACTCTAAAATGGCCCATGTACTCTTTTTTTCTTTTTCTGGGTCTGTCTAATTGTGTTTGAAAGTTGTTGTATGATTTGCAGTTAGAAATAAAGGGTATTTCCCTTAGATAAAAGAATGCAATCAAAACATTTGAAATGTTGAATGGATCACTTTATTTATACTATTTGCCTAAAATGATCGGAATTAAGTTGGGAAAGAATTTAACATGCATACATCCTTCAATCTGTTATTAAACCTAGCAACGGACCGGATCAATGGATCACTAGTTCAATCTGTAGATCACTGGTTAAATCGATGGGCATTTATTTAATATTTTTAAATGTAAAATAGTAATTTTAATATACTTAGAAAAATATCTAATAAAATGCTTTTACATACTAATTATTGTACTCAGAAAAATATATAATGAACATATAAATATTAATAGAAGATTTAATTCCATTTTGTCATACTTTTACATAAATAAATAATATAGTCAAATATAAAATAAAATTGTGTCTCTTGTTTTCAAAGATATAGCATCATTGTATCATAATTATTTTTAGACACTTTCCCAATCAATTACATTTTTAAGGAGTAACGATCCATTAGCCAAGCCAAACCGTATATTATTACGCTATATTAAATTTTTTGGTCGGCAAAGTGTACGTTATTATTACACGTACAATTTCTTCCGTAAATATATTGGTCAACTCGTAAATGCGGTTTGGCTTGACCAATGGCTCGTTACTCCTTAAAAGTGTAATTGATTGGGAAAGTGTCTTGATTGGTCAACAAGTTAGTCAAAAAAAAAAAAAAAAACAAGAGCGTTACGAGCCGTTGGCTTTTGCACTCAGCCAAAGCAATTTAGTCTCTCAAATTTGGCCACCAAAAGCTACCACTCCCACCGCTACAAGTTACACACGAAATTATAGTTTGGCATCTAAATCTTTCTCTCTATATATAATGCAGAATTGGGAACAATATAGACAAGAATTTTGATATCAGTAGGTGCTGCTCAAAGAGTTGAATAATGGCAGCAGAAAAATTCATTGTGAAGATTGAGGAAGCAAAAGAAGGTGAAAATGGCAGAGCATCAAGAGGTCCAGTTTATCGAAATGTATTAGCAAAAGATGGATTTAAGCCTCTTCCTCCGGGCCTCCACTCTTGTTGGGATATTTTCTTGTGAGTTTGATTCTTCCTAATTAGCACTCATCAAACTGCATGCCTTCTTACATAGAGCAACCCAAAAAAGAAAAAAAAAAACAACCAATGGTAAAATTTATTTCTTTGGATTTCTGTCTCGAAAGGTACAACTACGTTCGTACTACTTACCACCGCTACTTCAAATGGTCCTTGCTAATAAAAAGTAGTGCCCATATATGATCTTTGTTCAGTGAAGTTGTTGGGTTGTAAAAAAGGTCTTGTGTTTTTGGTGGGCAGCGAGTCTGTGAAAGAGTATCCCAACAATCGGATGCTGGGGGAGCGTGAGATGGTAAAAGGCAAGGTATTATTCCTACTACAATGCTTCACCACCTTCACTCTTAATTATGTGCTTCTCCATCCCTTGTTCCTTTATGCCTTGAATGCTGTTTTTGCAGGCTGGTGAATACTCGTGGTTGACTTACAAACAAGTGTATGACTTGGTATTGGAGGTGGGAAATTCCATTCGCACTTGTGGTGTCGTGCAAGTAAGTTCTTGGCATGTGGCTTAATTTCAGTGTTTAATGGCTATTAGCATTTTATGCTAAATGGATTACTTCAGGTGTTTTAATACACCTATAGCATCGGTAACAAAGTTCATGTAAAAAAAATCAGAGATTACTTTGTATTGGCTACTTAGTACTCGGTAGCAGCATTAAAATTCGCGGGATCAATATTTCTGTATTGGTTTAATACTTCCTTTCTGTTTGAGAACTTCTTTTAAAAGTCATTCTATCTACTTCTTTTATGCAGCTGCCTGGAGCATTTTCTTGAAAGTCCCATCATGATTATAATAATTTTCCTTTTTCTTTTTACAATTGATTGTTTCATGTCCAGGGTGATAAATGCGGAATTTATGGTGCCAATTGCTCAAAATGGGTCGTAAGTATGCAGGTAAGTGGCATTGCGAGGTGTAAATTCTGGAAAACATCAAAGTTACTTTCCCATGTCACTCAGGGTCCATCCTGTAGGATTGTTGCATTCTGAATCAACATGTGCTTATTGCACAACTTTTCTGCTCACACACATCTAGCCTGTTTTGAGTTATTTAGATTCTTATACTTTCGAGGTCTAGCTCTAGTTCTGCAATCAGCAGCTCCTTGACCCATACGAAGTAGTATAGATACGTATTGGTTTATGTTCCAACAATCCTTGCAACTGCTTAGAAAGGACAGGCAGGAAAAGATGGAAAGAGTGGGATCATACTGTTATAGTTAGAACAAATCTTGGTTTACAGTCCTATTACAGATGTAAAGTAAAATGTTTTCGACTCTTGCAGGCATGCAATGCTCATGGCCTTTACTGTGTGCCTCTGTATGATACGTTAGGTAAGTTTTTAACCACTAAAAATAAAAACTATATTCTCCCTTTTCCACGCACTCACACACACACAAAAAGAAGCATGCTTGAAAAAGAGTATAGATGTACAATCGCCAGACAAAGTTCTACGAGCAAATCGATGAATAAGTACAAGTTATTCACTCTCCATAATGTGAGGGGAAGATTTGTAATCAGAGTGCAAATTAAATGTTTCTGTGTGTCTTACTCGCTTATTCTTCCTCCAAGTATAATCATTCTTTCTGATTACAGTGAAGAAACTAGATAGTTGAGTCATCCTAATGATATAGTCTTTCTTATTTTTGAACTGTCAATCTTGCACACTACCATGCATACTTTCCAGTTCTGGGAGCTTCAATATTAATTAAATCATGGGTCATCCGTAATTTATAATGAACCTCATGGAGATGGATAACTTGACTAGAAATGAAAGTAAATGGAGAATATGAAGATCTTCAGAAGATTTGAGTCTTTGGGCACGACTCCCTTCAAACCAAATCTCCAAAGTTTACATTTGATTTAGTTCTTGCTGGCTACCATTATGTGGACTGTTGTCCGGGCAAGGATAAGGGAGTGTGTAAAAATGAATCAGTTGATGGATGATAATACCATTAGGATTTGAGGTATCTTTAATATGTGCTTGATTGTGGTTTCAGGTGCTGGTGCAGTTGAGTACATAATTTGCCATGCAGAGATTTCAATTGCTTTTGTTGAAGAAACTAAAATCTCTGAGGTATTCTTCCCCTCCTCATTTTTTTTCTGCGCCTCTTTTCTTAAATGTATACCAAATTTGTGTGAACTCACTTTCAAACTGCATTGTTCTTAGGTGTTGAAAACATTTCCAACTACAGGAAAATATCTAAAAAGTAAGTTCATTATTGACCATCATTTTCTGAGCTCATGATCTGGGTCAGTTTAAGTATTAACGCTCTGAATTCATCATGCAGCTGTTGTGAGCTTTGGGAAGGTTAGCAATGAACAAAAGGAGGTTTCTGGAACTTTTGGCTTGAAAATATTTTCTTGGGACGAGTTTTTGCTTTTGGTAAGCTACTTGCTTGGACTACCATCATTTTTGTCTATTTGACCTTTTGTATATAAAAAAAAACTTCCATGTATTCTTCAGTCACTTGCTCTAGCGGTAAGCTTTTTGGTGGGTTATAGGCTAGCAGGACTGGTTCACTAA